GAGACTGGGGGGGGGGGTGCATGAGTGAAATTAAAACTGGGTCCCCAGAGAGTCACATACTCATGGAGTATTGGTAAAAATAGCCCGAGAACATTTAGAGTGGAGGACTGTGGTCACCAACCCTCAGATATAAGTACGGTAATGTACTCTGATTGGTTGACTATCGTGAACTATGCAATCATAACCAATCCTTGCTGTGTTCAGCACCAGACTACGTATTATACGGTAGATCGACTAAGAAAATCGTTCCATTGATTCATTTTTTTTAAGTTAGATTAGGGATGGCTAAGTGTATGTAGTTTTTTGTTTATTATGGTGGTTTAGGGTAGACTTTTTTTACATGACTCAGACTTCAGTGCTTGAGTTGAGATGGCACTAATCAGGACTCTGTTCTGGTTGTTATTATTGTATTTATATTTTTAAAATCGTTGGCGTTGTTAAGTTACTTAAGCAGACCTGTTCTGGTTGATATTATTACTACTACTACTAAGAAGTGTTAGTTACAAGACTAGCGAGGTTATCCTAAAACTATATTTTACGCTTGTGAGACGTCCTTAGGATTATGCAGTTCTGGTCACCGTACTACTGAATGGATATAGACTCCCAAAAAAGAATTCAGAGGAGAATGACAAGACTAATCCCTGGCATTAGGAACCTTGAGCACAAAGACAGGTTAAAGCATCTTAATTTGCACTCCCTTGAGAGACGTAGAGTGAGGGGTGATATGATCGAGGTGTATAAATGGAAGTCAGTGCTAAACAAAGGTGATATAGCAAAGGTACTCAAACTATCCAACCAGGAGCGAACTCGTAGCAACGGATTTAAATTGAACAAATATAGATTTAGGCGCGAGATAGGTAAACATTGGTTTGGAAATAGAGTAGTCGATGAGTGGAACAAGTTACCAAACATCATCATTAACTCGAATACGCTGGATAGCTTCAAACATAGACTGGATGGATATATGAGCAATAGGGGTTGAGTGTAACGGGACTTCCTAGTATGGGCCAATAAGCCCCTGCAGTTTCCTCTATTCTTAAGCTCTTAAGTTCTTTTGTACTACTACTACATCTTCAAATCTTTACAAAATAAGTAGCGGTAGAGCTAGTGTCCACATTTTCATAAAGAATTTACTGTATACAGTATACTACAGTGGCTCTCCAGGCCAGGGGAGGTAGGAACCCTAGTTGTAGCCGTGAAATAACTAGATACACTGTACCCGTAAAGTGAAAATATGTTTCAACAGTGGACCAGGCATAAGCTACAGACGCCTTATATGGACCCAACTTTGGCATTATTGACACAGTACTCACACACAAAATAATCCGAACAAAACCAGTAAACGAAGGCTTTGTGCTGTACGGCAACCAGACTCACACGGACAAGTCATTATGTATGTTATTAAGCTTAGTGTTCACAGTATGGGACTACTACAGCTCCCATAAAAACATAACACCAAGGACGCGCTGCCCACACATTATATACTGTATAAATTCTAACAGTTCCACCTGTTATTTTTTTACAACTCCGGTACTGATTTATTCATAACCGTATTTTACACACGTCAGTCTGGTGGCTTCTATTTACAATGATTTTATGAGGAGCGTAAGAGTAGACTTCTGATTGTGTTTGTTTTTGTAATAAATATCCTCTCTGTTGTTTTACAGATGTCTTGTTGCTGGTGAGATTTTATAATTTGAAATCAGTTGATGGGATTTTCTTTGATGGGGATTTTACCCATTTTATGGTAAAGGTGGTCTAATGGGATTTGGGATATTTTTTTTTTCTCGTGGTAAGTTGTGTTGTAAAGTTTTATCGGTGTTAGTGATGTAGACCGACACACACACACACACACACACACACACAACTTTACAGGTCTGTATATTGATCTAACAATCACTGTTGAACGTGGCTATAATTCCCGGTGTGAGAGTTGATAGACCAGCACGATATTACCAGTTTGTCGCTATTGAAAGGAATTATAGACCCATCCATAATTACTTCTCCTGTAATTATTTGTTGGAGGGTAATTATGCGCAATCACATGGATAAGAAGACAATTACATCACAAAGCTCAGATTCTCAGAAGTTCGCGCGTTAATTTTCTTCGTGGTTAGAGATGCGGGACTCCTGTGATTTAACTCGCACAGTCTTTGACACATAAAGGTTTTTTTTTTTTTATATATATAAAGAACAGATTAAATATTGCGGTATATATCCCCCGTTACACGCCCGAGACTCCAAACTACTTGACTGTCCACAGATAGTGCTCTAGTATCTCATTTGGGTTCGGTACAGTTTTTTACAGGAGTGAAGTGGAAATATTTTTTGACTGTACATAAGGGTTAATAGAATCTTGATGCTTTTCTTTTATAAGTGATGCGAAAGAGCATCAAGCTGGCTCACATCAGCTGCGGGATGAAAATTGTGGTCTAAATTGCACCGAAACGAAATTGAACCTAGACTGTATCACATCTAGGTATGTTTTCTCAACTTGAATTGACGGTAAAAGAACTTTTGAATCTATGAGGTTCCGGAACCACAAGGTTGAGGGTTGAAAATAGCGGTGATCTGTAGCAACTGTGTGGGTTGCATGGCGCGACCCGTCATGGCCGCCGACCAAGACGCTGACAGCTGTGTCGCATCTTATGTGAGTCTTCCGGCGGGCGGTGCTGCCTCCTGCCAAGCTGCACAGCTGTTCCCTGCTGCACTTGCTAGGTAGGCTCGGGCTGTACGTTTTTATGTTACATTAACGGGCACTATACGACACCTGCTAAACACGCCACCTTCCTTATTCAAGCTCCTTGGGAACAATTTCCTTATAACATTTATTCATAAAGATGTAAATGCACTAAGGAGTTTGAGTGATTATTGATGCGAATTTAACTCCGAATTTTAATGGTAATTTTTCCTAAGCTTGTACATTATTTTAACATCTCTAGTGTAGTGAATTATTTTGTGGGTTTTATTGTGTAGGTAAATTTAGGAGACGCGGGCTGTGCAATGTTTGTGGGTAACAGTGTGGGGATGTCCTTATCTTCATAGTTTATCTTCCATGTGCGTCCTATTTGACATTAACATCGCAGCCAGCGGAACATGTTCACAATATTGAGTGAACATTACAATTCGAGGTATGAACTAATGGGAGGGGGACAAACTGTTCACATCCTCATGATCTACTTGTTTTATGGACAGTGAGGAGGTAAACAGTGTTCGTTCACACTCCATAGGGTCACAGCCATTCAGAATTAGTAGTATTATGTTTTCTCATGTTATCGTAAAGTACATCACAGGAAAAGTATTCAGCTACTGTACTCTATTCTCCGAAGCTCAGTGTATAACAAATGCAAGAGGTGGACCCGCAAGAAGGCAAACAACGCTCCGTTACTCTCGCCACCATCGCAGTTGAGCAGACTCATTATTTTTTGTCTAATAGCAATAATTTAGATTTAGGGGTAAAGCACTTGCGTTGTGAACTAACAGGAAGTTCAACAAACACTCCTTCACGTCGCTCAGGGTCATAACTGTGTGGGATGTAAACCCAGCGGGAAGGTTATTCTCTTAAGACTTAACACTTGATTGACGGGTAAATAACAGACTTGTATAGTACCGTTGGTGGGGAGGGCAGAGAGAAAACAGGAAGGAGGGCATGCTGAACGGGGAGATGAGAGTTGATAAGAATGGTCTAAGATGGTTGTAAGGGAAAAATAAAATGTTTGCATTGTACAGGGGTAACGCGCTTATCTCTCACTGCTCTGTCACAGTCCCGGGTTCAATGGGTTCAATCCCTGATCCAGAGTAGATGTGAGAAGTATATGAATGAATAAATAGAAGAATTCCAAACAAACCTGACCCATCAAGCAAAGCCAATTTTATTTCAATTAACCTAAATCCAGGGGCGAATCAAGGAGGTTGGGGGGCTAAAACTGACCAATGTCATGAGCATTTTGAGCCCATTTTCAGGCCATGTGCACTTGATATTGAGATATATTTTGAGATCAATAGTAATAACTTTTTACTATACAAAAACACGTGAGTACAGTACTGCATTAAAGAAAATGTATTGGAATTTTTTGATGAACAGAAGGTCCGGCCCCCCAGGACCTTCCCATGGATCCGCCCTTATAAATTAACATACCAGTAGCTGTAACGTAATTTACTACCCGACCAGTGGAAACCAGAACTAACTTAACAAGACAATAAAACTGAAAGAAACTTAGACCTGTTATTATTTTATATGGGTATTGGTATTATATTGCTGATGGTGACATCCCCGCCCCGTGGAGAATTAGCTAATGAAATTTCCACAGCTGAAATTTTACCAGTCATTATAATGCCCATGAGAGCCCCACGTTATTTACCATAGTTATTAATAGCCTCATGGTGTTTTCATAGTCAGTGAGAGCCTCCAGTATTGCCCCAACTACTAAGAGTGCTGATGTTGTTCCCATACTTTGTAAGACCACTCTGTTCCCACAAGTAGTAAGAGCTCCCACAGTGTTCTCACAGCTAGTAACAGCTCCCACAGTGTTTCCACAACTAGTAACAGCTCCCACAGTGTTTCCACAACTAGTAACAGCTCCCACAGTGTTTCCACAACTAGTAACAGCTCCCACAGTGTTTCCACAACTAGTAACAGCTCCCACAGTGTTTCCACAACTAGTAAGCATCTGCAGTGTTTCCACAACTAGTAACAACTCCTACAGTGTTTCCACAACTAGTAACAGCTCCTACAGTGTTCCCACAATTAGTAATACCTCCCACGGTGTTCCCACAAATAGTAGCTCCCACAGTGTTCCCACAACCAATAACAGCTCTCACAGTGTTCCCACAACCAATAACAACTCCCACAGTGTTCCTACAGCTACTGTAGTATGAGTCCACAGTTTTTAAGAGCCCCCAAAGAGTGTGTAAAAGCACCCACTGAGTTCCATATACAGGGTTCCTTTACTTGTTTCAGAGCCTCTACATACTCACTCACTCACTCTTTCTCTCCACAGGAACGGGCACCTTTGGGCGGGTTTGCCTGTGCCGCGACAAAGTGACGTCACAGTACCTGGCCATGAAGATCCTGGCCATCAGTGACGTCATCAGGCTCAAGCAAATAGAACACGTCAAGAACGAGAAGAATATTCTCCGCTTGGTCACTCATCCCTTCATTATAGATATGTGAGTACTTTTTGGTTATTCATCCTTTCATTATACTGTAGATATGTGAGTACTTACTGGGCACTCATCCCCACTCATCTCTACATTATAGATATTAGTACTTTCTGGTCACTCATCCCTTCGTTATATATAGATATATGTGAGTACTTTCTGGGCACTCATCCCTTCATTATAGATATAGGAGTACTTTCTGGTTACTCATCCCTTCATTATAGATATACGAGTACTTTCAGGTTAGTCCTTTCATTATAGATATGTGAGAACTTTTTGGTTAGTCATCCCTTCATTATAGAAAAATAAATAGTGATATATTATTTCCTCAGTGTCACTGTTGTCATGTTTTGTATACAGTATATGACACTTTTAGGTGATAACTCTTCCTTTACTGAGAGTGAAAATGGGTCGTGTACAGTAGGTCTGATCGCCCATTAAGGGCAAAATGGATACAGCACACTGTAGCCTAAGCCTTAATTTGGTACATGGCAGTGTGGTCAGCAGTACACTCGATAGCTCTCAATTCCCCAATCGCAAAGTTAGGTACTGTACCCATTCATATCTGAATGGACTGAAGGTGCCCCAGACAGGAAGCAAGTGCTGTGTCCATTCTGCTGCCACAACATTTACCCTCTACTACTGTTCTAATATTGATATATCTTGTCCACTACTTCCCAATCTGTTACCATTACTGCACCAACTGCAGTGTCTTTGGGATTTCAGGATTCCTATAAATCCACGTGACTGTAGGCTATTTGTAAGCCAGATTATTGAGTTATTGGAGGCCACTTTTTTCTAAATATATCCCAACAGTACAGTAACTAGGAATTCTAGTAGTAGTTATGTCAAATCCACAATATTAGACAATTGAGGGCCTACAATTTTCTTTTGATGTAAAAATTGAGTTTTATCGATTCACTTTTGATAAAATGTTTTCTTTAAAGCCCCACAATATTGACAGGGTTTCTTATAGGAATTCTATATCTGTCATATGTTATTACCACAATCTTAGTGTGCTGAGCATTGAATATACCTGTACTGAGACTTGTGTCTTTTACTGAACTTCCATCTTGACTACATACCCATTGTCTTATGTTGCAGGTATTGGCATTACCGGGATGATCGTTTCCTTTATATGCTCTTTGAGTATGTGTGTGGTGGGGAACTTTTTGCCTACCTCAGAAATGCTGGCAAGTTCCCCATGACAACAGGTAAGTTGATATATATATATATATATATATATATATATATATATGTGTGTGTGTGTGTGTGTGTGTGTTGAGATGGCATTTTTAGCTTCCAAATGACTTGTCATCACTAAACACTGCAGATAAGTGAAAAACGTCTTGGTATAGCATATATGATACTGACGGCATCATTAGTTATAACAATACTCAGCTACACAACATTTAGCTACCTTTGATAAACATGGGGATTCTGCACTACTGGCCACCATACTTTATAATAGTCTTAAAGAAAATTATAATTCAATGATAAAATATTTTTTGTACTTTACATTATAACGTCAGAAGTCCAGAACAGTTGGGGCTGATAGTATGATAGTTGTTAATTTTCTATCTTCAACGCTGTCAGTTAGGTCATTCCTCAGCATTTCTGTATTAAAGTTCCCCAAACACACAACACTGACATCATTCGTTGTAAGTCATAGGTGAAGAAGTGGTTGACATCTTTGTGAATTTATAACATTAGTTGTAATTTACTTGGACCTTTTATTATTTACGTAATCTATATAATAAAGTCACACTGTAGGGGTAAGGAAACACTATTTTTAATGCAAATACTGTATTGGTTACTTTATCAATGTTGAACCCTGATTGACTGTGTGTGTATCTGCAGATCTTGGTACTGTACTGTATTATATGTGCCCCCCCCCCTCCAAGTACTGTAGGCATGATAATATTATACTGTCCTGTAATTGGCCACCTCATTTTAAAATTATAACAAATATTTGTAAAATACTGTATATACAGAAAATTACTGCAAATAGATTTAATTACTGTAATTTGAAACAACGAAAGTATGATGTTGTTTTAGTTGTCAGTCTCATTTGCAGGGCTGCTACCCAATGAAATACTGTATTGAACATACAGTACAGTATATAAGATTATCCGATATTTGGAGTTGATGTCCCATGGTCTATTGAATCCATGCTGCAGGTATAAATTCACCATTACTTTATAAAGTTGTCAGTATTTAGGTTGTTTTAATTTGTGACATTATGTGTGTGTGTGTGTGTGTGTGTGTGTGTGTGTGTGTACACACACCTGTACAATAAGTACATATAGCTACAAGTTATATTTAAACTAATATTCATCTGATTTTGTCCCCCTCAGCATCTTTCTACGCCTCAGAAATAGTGAGTGCTCTAGAGTACCTTCACTCCCTCTCTGTGGTGTACAGAGATCTCAAACCAGAGAACTTGTTGTTAGACAGAGATGGACATCTCAAAATCACAGATTTTGGCTTTGCGAAGAAACTCACTGACAGGTGTGTACAACACTTTTGATATTTATTTTTATGTTGACCTACAAGAAAACTCAAATGTTTAAGTTATGTACAGAATTCTTATTGGAGTTTGAATTTTTTGGAGGACTTGGAGGACTTGGTGGCAGAACTAATTATGCTACCAGAGACTTTTTTTCTTTCTCCAAAATTGTTTAGAGGTTTCATCTGTAATCCAAAGTAACCTACTAGTGTACTTAAACATTACATTATAGTGGCAGAAATCTTGAGATATTAAAAAAGAAAGCTGTAACTCCAGAAAGTTTTCATTATTCCACATTACTGTACAATACAGTACTGTACAGTATAGAACACATAGTATACTTGTAGTGGTATGTAAGATGTTAGTTTCTCTCCATGTAGGTCAGGAGTACATCTCCCAGTATTTCCTGTGACAGCCATCAACTCAGATACTTGTCAGTACTGTATGTAGTGTACAAGTCTAATGCCTACACTATAGGGACGTCACTTTTAATATTCTATTTATCCAGCGCCAAACGATTTTATTTACTGTATTTAGCAGAGAGGGGACCCCACCCCGTACACAAGTGGTTGAGTTTTAATATTTTCTAGAACGTGGACACTATGTGGCACACCTGAATACTTGGCACCAGAGATCATCCAGAGCAAAGGACACAACAAAGCTGTGGACTGGTGGGCGCTAGGTCAGTATGGTAGTTGTATAATTTATAGAAAACAATGCAGGATTGTTGTACTTTCTAATGTTTAAGGGATGACTGTAATGATTTTATAGCTTTATACACCTCAGCATCATGCAGTTGACAGCTGTTTACTCATTGACTGAAAGTTGAAGGGAATACTGTATACAACTGTCCATGTGCCTGTCTATCAGTCTGTCTATTTGTGTCCACAACAAATTTTATTTGTACTCAGTAATTTTCCATTGTCTTTTACGTATTGTTATTTCAGTTTGGGTTGTAAAGTATAAAGTGACAGGTTTTTACTTGGTAAATGGGCTTGTTGGTAGGAAATAGCATATGAGGAAAATTTGTTGTAATACAGTATATACATATACAGTACTGTATACAGGTACTATATATATATATATATATATATATATATATATATATATATATATATATATATATATATATATATATATATATATATATATATATATATATATATATATATATATATATATATATTTGTGTGTGTGTGTTTTGAGAATACTGAATATTTATTTTTCTATGTAACAGGTATCCTCATATATGAAATGTTGGCTGGGTATCCGCCATTTTTTGATGATAACCCATTTGGTATATATGAAAAAATACTGGGTGGTCGTGTAGAATGGCCAAGACACTTGGATGCTGCAGCCAAGGACCTTATCAAGAAACTTCTTACTCAGGATCGTACAAAACGGCTCGGAAACATGAAGGTAAATATTTTATAACTGCACCAACACCAGTCTCAGTTCTACTGTAGTTAGCTGTGTGAAGTGTGATGATCCTTGTAGACCTTCTCCTTTTACCTGTGTGAAGTGTGATGATCCTTGTAGACCTTCTCCTTATACCTGTGTGAAGTGTGATGATCCTTGTAGACCTTCTCCTTATACCTGTGTGAAGTGTGATGATCCTTGTAGACCTTCTCCTTATACCTGTGTGAAGTGTGATGATCCTTGTAGACCTTCTCCTTATACCTGTGTGAAGTGTGATGATCCTTGTAGACCTTCTCCTTATACCTGTGTGAAGTGTGATGATCCTTGTAGACCTTCTCCTTATACCTGTGTGAAGTGTGATGATCCTTGTAGACCTTCTCCTTATACCTGTGTGAAGTGTGATGATCCTTGTAGACCTTCTCCTTATACCTGTGTGAAGTGTGATGATCCTTGTAGACCTTCTCCTTATACCTGTGTGAAGTGTGATGATCCTTGTAGACCTTCTCCTTATACCTGTGTGAAGTGTGATGATCCTTGTAGACCTTCTCCTTATACCTGTGTGAAGTGTGATGATCCTCGTAGACCTTCTCCTTATACCTGTGTGAAGTGTGATGATCCTCGTAGACCTTCTCCTTATACCTGTGTGAAGTGTGATGATCCTCGTAGACCTTCTCCTTATACCTGTGTGAAGTGTGATGATCCTCGTAGACCTTCTCCTTATACCTGTGTGAAGTGTGATGATCCTTGTAGACCTTCTCCTTATACCTGTGTGAAGTGTGATGATCCTTGTAGACCTTCTCCTTATACCTGTGTGAAGTGTGATGATCCTTGTAGACCTTCTCCTTATACCTGTGTGAAGTGTGATGATCCTTGTAGACCTTCTCCTTATACCTGTGTGAAGTGTAATGTCTATAATTTCCTATATTTGTTCCTTTCTTATCAACCTCTCTCCTGGTTCTTTTGATCGCTCACCCTCCTTCACTGTGTCAGTTCTTTTTTATCTCCCCTTTATTCTATCCTTGAGGTCCTGTCCCACATACCCCTTTATTCTGTCAATGCCTTCCTTCTCTCCCTCACCTATTCTTCATTCTGTCAGTTCTTCTCCCCAGTTCACTCAGTAGTTGCATTCCTGTCCCATACATCCTCTTTATTAGCTCTCCTGTCTTTATATATTTGGATCATATTTATTCCTGATGTTGCTCTGTGGCATATAATGTATTTCTCTCAGAGCAGTGCTTCAATATGGCTTTCATTCACAATGTTTTATGGTGTTGTATGGTTATCTTTTTTAAGTATGGTGATTTCTTAGTAAAGTATCTTTTGTTATATATTGCTTCATTTATTATCGTGCCAGCTATGTAAGGCAAGTGCAAATAATTTTCTTCCAATGTAAAATGAAGACATCAAATAAAGTTGGCTGGCTAATACAAGTTCACTCCCTCTATATTGCACTGTGACTTGTATCAAGGGCACAGACAGACTCTACCTGTCTTTACTCACTTCAAGTTTTACTATTGTAAGCATGTCCAGAAAGCGCTCACTGTCATCACTGCTTCCTGGATGTCCATTTCCCTCACTGTCAGTGCCTTCTCCACCCCTGTCCTTCCATCTCTTTCTTGATCTTTCTCTCTCATGGCAGCTACCTCTTAAATAGACACTCAAGTTCTCCATATTGTACTAGTTTTGTAAATCCTTGTCAGCTCTCTGTCCATATAGTATTTAATATTAGGCATTGTTACTGAAAGATCTGTAATTTAATTGGCTAACTTTTGTTATCTTTTAAATATAAATACCGTACCCATATTATAGTCACATTATATGTAGTGAAAATATGAATTTTTTATATATTTAAAATAATTTACAGTTTTGTAATTATCTAACAAAAATTACTTTGTAAATAAAGTGAATATCTCTAACAGAATGATGGACACAATAGACACAAGGGGGATGGACATCCAGGAAGAAACACTGTTTGCATGAATAAGTGGAGTACATGACCATGGATGATTTTTGAGGAAGTTTGTGTAAAGTGATGGGTAAATCAGATTTGATACACCTGTATGTTGTTGAGGAGGAGTACCATAGCAGAAGTAGTCACCATAGCTGAAGTTGTTGATAGGGAGTACTGTACCACAGCAGAACACAACTCGTACATCAGTAAGAGTGAATGAATGAATGAAGGGACAGTGTGTGTATGCATGTTCATTTACTATTGTGTCCACTTAACCAAGATTTCAGAAAGAAAGATAACTTTCCAGTTAGTAAATATTGTGTAACAATGCTAAAAGCTCTCACTTATCTTATACCCTGTATTACCAGTTGAATAAGTGTGATAGTTGTGTGTTCCTAGATATTGGGAGAACACTGCTGATGGTTTATTTTCTTTGCAGAATGGAGCTGATGATGTCAAAAGACATAGATTCTTCAAGAATATTGATTGGGAAGACGTATATCAGAAAAAATTAAAGGTAAGCCCAGGCTGCTCTGAACTACAGTATACACTGGTCACCATCTTCCAACATCTGTTAAAAAAATGTGTTGAAACTATGCAAGTCATAAACTTGGTTATGTTCATGTAGCTAAAAAAAATAATGTGTACTATGCCTCCTTCCCAAAGTAAGGTGCTTTACTAAAAAAAATATATATACTGTATATATATATATATATAATTGCTATGCGTAATATAAAATTATCTTACTGACATTAAGTCTTAAACACTGCAACTTCAGTCTTTCTTTACTGCCATATGCAAACATTGATTATGCTGTAGAGCCAGATAATGACAAGATGGTTAATGTTTTAATCTATTTCTGGAGACTCAGGAATGGTTGCTTCCTCTGCCATCACTTACTTGGTACTATTAAGGTAGTTTGACTCTTTTCAGTCAGAAGGTGGAGCTTTGGGTTCTCAGGGTGTTTTTTTGTGAAATAACTTCTTCTACAAACATGTCATAACACCAACTCCACCTTCTCTTGATTGGTATAGTGAGCCTTTAGGGTTGTTTCATTCCTGAAAAATATAAATAGGTGTTAGAAATGTGTTTTTTAACTTTTAAAGTAACACACATACTACTGTACTGGGATACCCTGTACAGTTTTAGATGTTTTGCTTTTGTTGTATTTGATTTTTAATAAGGTTTTATCTGAAGAAGTAGTGCTAAACTTATCCATTTAACATTTTCTTCTTACCACTAACGATTTACACTAAATCTCATTTGCACACCACCTGTACCATGCAAAGTGGATGGTTTTGGGTAACTTGGAGATGAACACACTTCCTCCATGATGGTTGTCAGTGTACTGAGGCACATGAGTGAGAGCTAGGTATAGAGGCATCAGAGGCCTATGGGGAAGTCTATAAATGCGCAGCACTTGGCACGCAATTTTATAAATTTTCTCCTAAATCTTGGCAGCATGGTGACATGTCACAGCCTTACAACAGACCACCCTACTGGTCAGAATCTGCGTAACTATACCATCTTCAAGCCCCAAGTCCAATACACCTACTTGTGTTTTTATTTTCGACTTTTGCGTAGCGGTAAAACACATTTGAGGTTGACTTGACCTTGCTTGCAATCCGCCTCTGAAACTCTTTTTCAGCCCTTCTACACTCTGACTTTGTCTGGTACCTGGATCTAGCATACATACTCCTATCCTGATCATCATTTCTCCTAACCCACGTCTCAAAGTCCTGAGTTTTCTTCTTAACTTCATCAACCGCTGCACGTCTCATGTGTATTGGTCCCCTTGTATTCCTGGAGGTACTGGGTTTGGTTTTGGGTATATATTTATTGATCAAATGGTTCACTTTATTGGTTATGATATTCAGCAGAGTGAGTCAGGCCAGTGGATACCACCTCATCTTTTCCCTCATTCTGTCATAATTACCAGTGTAATATTTAAACCTTGGCCTGGTTTTGTCTTGAATCAAGTAACATTTAAATCTGAAGGACAATGTTACATGGTGACTGGTGCCAATGGGGGCTAGGTGTTCCAGCTTGGTCACCATACCCTCTTCGTTAGTTATGATGAGATTCAGTGGTTTGGGTGTTTGCTCCCCTCTGTAGTGAGTCGGATCCTTAACATGTTGGAACAGAAAATTGTCTGCATACAACAAAGGATACTGTGCCATTTACGGAGGAAGTGTGTGGGCTGCCGTCAAGTTTTCTTTGTGTTCAAAACATATTGTACAGTATTAAAAAAAATGTGAACCATGTGAGTAATGCTTTCCAAATTGATTTGGTATCTTTAACCCCACATTCATTAACTTTTAATGACTTGAGATCATTAGGGATCATTACAAGTTATAGCAGTCAATTTCTTTCTGGTTGTTGAGTTGTATCACTGCATTATTTTTCTTTACTTTATTTAACATAATTAGATCTTTTCAACTTAAAACTTCTCAATATATTGTACATTGAAAAGACAAAAAATGGTGGTGATGGCACAATCCATCAGACGACTGACAACTAGTGAACAGCTATGAATTATAATGGTTACTCAGGTTACTAGAAATGGCAGAGTTTAATGAATAGGTCATTTGCACCACAGATGATATAAGGATTATCACAGGAAGAGAATCCATACCTTGTGTTTGTAGAACTTGTTCAGATTTATTAATGAATTTATGAATAATGGTAATAATGAGATACACATATAAAGGAAAATAAATGTACTGTATCTTGCTGGCAGGCAGAACTGTAGAGAATAATCCATTTTAGTCTGTATTATGATATTTAGTAGGTTGAAGTATCTGTAATAGATTTTTATGTTTTAGGGATAAACTGTGACAAATAAACTGCTGTACTGTACTGAAGTAATAAGGTAATTTTCTTTTACAGCCTCCAATTGTACCTAAAGTGAATTACGAAGGCGACACCCGGAACTTCGATGACTATCCTGAAAATAACTGGCGATCAACACAAGGAGTGTCAGACATCGAATTAGCTATTTTCAATGATTTCTAAATGTAAATGTCACAAATTACGAACCCTTGGGGTAATCGTTAACATTCATTTATTATCACCCACAAAGTACAGAATTGCAGTTTGAAGTAATTTCCACATAATTACAAGAGATGGGGATATGACAGAATTATTTGTAGCAGGAACACTGATGTTGAGAGAGGAATTGCATCATAAATCTGTTAAATATGTAAAAAGAAATTTATAGAATATACATACTACAATATTTGTACAGGTAAATATTCTTTATGTTGTATTGCAATCACTTTACTCTTCAAATAATAATGTATGAAGGCAATATCTGTGTTTTGACAGAGAAGGCCATCTACAGGTACTTCAGAATGAGTGCACTGCAGTTTGGATTAACTGTAGTCTGCTCAAGATTTTCAACTCATTTTTATTTGCACTTAAAAATATATTTGTATATTTCACATTTGTTTATTTTTTATGATTTTAGTAGATATTTGAAGCTGTACAATTCGTTTCCTTTATCCTTTTTATGCTTATTAATTTGCATTGACTAGTAAGTACTGTAATTAAAATCATTGCAGGAAACTTCTCATAGTCTTCATTGTTTTGAAAGCTTTTGGTACAGTTGATAAGTGTTGAATTTCTGTTTCATTTTGTTGTGTGTAGTCAATATCATCGGTGACTTATAATGCCAAAGATGGTTGACATTAATAATCATCAAAGTTTCTGGACTGTTTCATGTCTTGTCTTCATACCTGTTATACATTGTAGGAAATATTGAAAACAAACCAGCAATACATAGTCAGTATGACATACAATTACTGTACAGAATATAATATCCTGTATATCTGATAAAACCTCTATTATGAAGTAAGTTTCACATAAAATTTTATTATTTTTCAAAATACTGTAGATTTCTGTTTATCTGCATACCTGTACATAATGTTCACAGGTCGATGGTTTATGATAATTAAGTTAGGGATCATTCATTATCTTCACACAAGCAGCTGGTCCTGAGTATCTATGGTCAGTTGAATACAGTACAATGCCTGAACTTAGTGGCTTACCAACAAAAAACTCCAGGCAACCTACTACTGTATACCCGATTTTCCCGATGACAGCACAAAATTAAGGGTCATTGATAAGATGTTGCAGAACATAGGTAATACTGGGTATGTGACATAACTGAAGGTGATGTCAACAACCTCATTGAATCACACTGTAAGTAGCTAACTACTAAGAAGCTTTTACACTCGATGAATGTAGTGCCATAGTGATGTTTCTTCCAAGCACAGGAAGCAGGTCAGTAAAAAAAAATGCTGGAGATATTCACAAGGAAAAGCATGATGATGAAGACTCCATAGTAAGTTAATTTTTGACAAAAATGTTTACAAAAGAAGTAAGGATGAATGTTCATAATTTCATATTTTGCCCAAATAAAATTGCTAAACATTAAAAAACAAATCTTCATTTACAAAAACCAAATCAATTGTGTTCACATGACATTCAAAATTTGAAGTTTGCATAACTATAAAAAGTTCACAAAGAAAATGGTGAAAAAAAAATCTGCTTAATGTAAGTCTGTGAGTTCCAGTCTACTCCAGTGATGCTGCCTAGGGTAGTGCTGTGTAACTGCCTGCTACAAATACTCTGCACTACCCAGAAGAAAAAGTCTGGGTAATTTTGTTAACAATTCATTCTTATACTTTTCTCATCCATTTAGAATCATTGTAGTAGCACATAAGCTAATTTTGCCCCCCCACCCAACCCCACCCACCACCACCACCAGATGACTGAGGCAGCCATTACCATCACCAACACCAGATGACTGAGGGCTACATCACCACCACCAGATGACTGAGGCTACATTACCACCATCACCACCACCAGATGAGTGAGGCTACACCAGATGACAGGAGGCTACATCACAACCACCACCACCACCAGATGACAGGAGACTACATCACAACCACCACTGCCACATGACCACCACCACCACCCAGATGACAGGAGGCTACATCACCACCACCATCCAGATGACAACCATCAACACCACCACCACCAGATGACAGGGGGCTACAACACCACCACCACCAGATGACTGAGGCATACAAATAATCACCACCAACAGATGGACAGGAGGTTACAACTCACCACCACCAGATGACAGGAGGCCAGCATCACCACTCACCACCAGATGAATGAGGCTACAACACCACCACCAGATGACTGAGGCTACATCACCACCTTATAAGATGACTGAGGCTGCATCATCAACACCAGATGACTGAGGCTGCATCACTAACACCAGACATTTGAGTTACATTACCCACCAGATGACTGAAGCTACATTACCACCACCACCAGATGACTGAGGCTACATTACCACCACCACCAGATGACAAGAGGCCACCACCACCAACAGAAGATGACTGAGGCTACATTACCACCACCACCATCACATGATCACCAACACCAACAACCAGATGACTGAGGCTTCATTACCACCACCGTCACTAGATGACTGAGGCTACATTGCCACTACCAACACCAGAAGGCTACACCACCACCAGATGACAGGAGGCTACATCACCACCACCAACAGAAGATGACTGAGGCTACATCAGTGTAAATATCCTGGTAGACACAACTTCAGCTCGGTAGACCACATACTATAGTAGCGCCGTTATTTATTAAAAAATAAGTTTATATATATATATATATATATATATATATATATATATATATATATATATATATATACTGTATATATATATATATATATATATATATATATATTATATATATATATATATATATATAATTTTGATGAAAATGGAATGGAGCACCTTTTGTTTTATTCAAGACATCTTCAGAGGCCTGAAGATGTCTTGAATAAAAACAAAGAGGTGCTTGTTTTTTCGATTTTATCAAGATTTATCTTATCCACGTTTCATTGTGATTTACATGAAATATATATATATATATATATATATATATATAAATATATATATATATATATATATATATATATATAAATATAAATATATATATATATATATATATATATATATATATATATATATATATATATATATATAATATATATATATATATATATATATATATATATATATATATATATATATATATATATATATATATATATATATATATATATATATATATATATATATATATATATATATATATAGTGGCCTCGTTAAACTTAATCAACTGCTCCAGAAGGTCGTTTCGTTAACCAAACGTTCGTTAACCTAAAACCATTGTTTCAATGGGTTTTGGGTACTGGTTCCAGCTCACCGAAAATTCCTAAATTCAACAAAAATGGTAGAAAAGTTCACTTACTTTGAGGTGTGTATGAGAAGGCTCTGGATGATGATGATGATGATGGGATTTAGAATGGGGTGGAGGAGAAGGAAGAAGAGAAGGCATTGGGGTGGAAGAGAAGTCACCCCATGGTGCCATTTCACCCATAAAATTTTAGCTCTGGTTTAATTCAAGATTATTTTCTTTTAAATCAACGCTGCACTGCATTATATATTGTCAATATATAAAATATATTTCAAAATGACCAATAATTTGCTTGGAAACACAGAAAAAACGTTTAGTTGAAGAGAGTCTCAAGCAAGATGTTACCCAGTGAAAACGAGAGAGACTGACGCCTTTTGCTGTGTTAAGAGGCTGGATGCGCAGATTAAACTAGTCACTTTACCTTCAATTTGTTCAATAATTGTTAAAATGACTAAAAATTGAATATTAAACTTTTAAAATTATTGAATAGTATAAACTTCTTGATATTTACAAAAATAGTAAGGATTTAAGCCCTAGAACCGATTAATGTATTGGCGATTGATACTAAAGCTGGTTGCCCGTCAGTGCAAGCTAAAACATATTGAGGTCGGTTCGTAAGAAGTTCGTTGAGCTTAATTTTTTCATTAACCGTAATTGGAAGATCCTTATGGAAGGCAGTTCGTTAATCTAAATTTACGTTAACTGAGGGTTAGTTAAAACGAGGGTTTACTGTATATATATATATATATATATATATATATATATATATATATATTAATATATATATATACACACTAGCAGAAACGTGTGGTGGATAGACCACGTTCATTGTAGTTTCTAGACTAAATAAGTCTTTACTTTTATGTTCATTATTTTGTCACACGGTTAAGTCACTTATTTGATCAGATTTAATTTGTACTTGTTTATTTTTGTACATACTGATATATTTGTTTTATTGTTTGTTTGTTAATATATTCTGTAATTAAAATTACTGGATGTATTTCAATATACCCCATAGTAATGAAGTGATGATTTGTGGATCTATTCCTTGGACCTGTTACACAAAGAGAAATTGAATTTGTGATTTTGTTAAACCCTAAGAGGCCAAGGGTCGTAACAAACACACACACACACACATTTTTTCCATTTTCCCGTGTGATTTTATCAAGATATATATATATATATATATATATATATATATATATATATATATATATATATATATATATATATATATATATATATATATATATATATATATATATATATATAACGGGAAATATCTACTTTTCACGAAAGTAGATTACATAATTTTTTGAAAATTAGATTGTCATAGAAAACAGAAATTCTATTATAGAAAACGGACATTTTGTATCATAGAAAACGGGAAATATCTACTTTCCGGGAAAGTTGGTTATCTACTTTCCCAAAAAATAGATAATCTACTTTTCGGGAAAGTAGATTATCGACTTTTCGGGGAAGTAGATTATCAACTTTTTGGGAAAAATTTCCTAATTTTGCGAATTAGATTATCATAGAAATCGGGAAATTTGTATTACAGAAAATGGGAAATATCTACTTTCTGAGAAAGTTGGTTATCTACTAATCATAGAAAACGGGAAATTTTTATCATAGAAAATGGGAAATATCTACTTTCCGGGAAAGTTGTTTATTTCCCGAAAGTAGATAATCTACTTTTCGGGAAAGTAGATTATCGACTTTTCGAAGAATATCGACTTTTGGGGGAAAAATTTCCTAATTTTGCGAATTTAGATTATCATAGAAATCGGGAAATTTGTATCACAGAAAATGGGATATATCTACTTTCTGGGAAAGTTGGTTATTTATTAACTATAGAAAAACGGGAAATTTGTATCATAGAAAATGGGAAATATCTACTTTCCGGGAAAGTTGGTTATCTACTTTCCAAAAAGTGGAATAATCTACTTTCGGGAAAGTAGATTATCGACTTTTCGAAATGGATTATCGACTTCTGAAAATTAATTTTGCGAAGTAGATTATCATAGAAACGGAAATTTATATCATAAAATTTCCGTTTCTCTCGATAAAATCGGAAGTAATATTCAGAAAAAGTCGATAATCGACTTCGAAAAGTAGATAATCTACTTTTCGAAAGTAGATAACCAACTTTCGGAAAGTAGATATACCCATTTTTATGATACAAATTTC